GTCCAGTACGGTACATTGCGCTGTCCGCCGATTCCAGTCCTGCATCGGCCGACTGTGTCACGTACTGGTATCGGATGGTACTTTTTTTACTGAGGATAACATGGTTCTAATTGCCAGTCCAATGCATGGATCGTCCACACGGGCCGGACATCTCTAAGCCAGTATACGTAGCCGGCTAGTTGGAATGCTTCTGAGCCAAATGGCATTCGGAACCATTCAGATTCTGAGGGAAAGTCGGATGTGCGGCGCACTCACATAGGTCTACCAAGGTAGCCCAGAGTATTCACAGGTCACTATCCTTGTCCTGCGGCCAAATGGTATTCTGAATCATTCCTTCTTCTAGGCCAAATGACTTTCAGAACCATTAACGATTCCGAGCGAAAAGTCTTGTTCGTGGTACATCTCCAAGAATGTTGATCAAAGCCGAGCAGTCCATCATCTATATTCTGTGTAACATTAAATCGTGAAGACCATTATAAGGGCTTATTTGATTTGATTTGATTATTGATTTGGCTTATGGACTAGTACTTTGCGTCCGGCGCGTTACCACGACTTCACCAATCGATATTTGCCCCGGTACCTGTTTGCTGCAGTCACCGTGGCATTGATGTCGTGAAACAAGAACTATGACGGTTCTCTTAAATATTCCCAAAAGGTTCTAGCAATGTCTATCCCGTTGCTCGTCTAGGTGATGAACCGTACGTCAGAACTGGGACAGTAAGCCCCTTACGGTCGCAAAGTCACGATTCTTCAAAAGCATGAATGCTTGTGACCTTCCTCATCTGGCTTTCCCCTTAACAAGAAGCACATTTTCTAAATGATACGGGTCTGCAAGTCCCTAGGCATTGGATCACAGTTCAGAATTCAGGGCAGACTTGTTTGGGCTCTTCCTGAAGTTGCCGTAGTCATTTGAAATGACCTTTGCACACAGCTTGTGTATGCTGTTCACTCAGTAATAGCTGAGGGGCTGTCGATTGTGCTGTAATGCCGAGCTGTTTTGCCGGACTGCACAACTTACACAAGACGAAACGTTCGAATCGATATTCTGAATCTAAACCATATGTTCTGCACAAGATGTGGAAAACGAACTCTGGTTGAGCAGGTTCTCTAAGAAGGAAGGATTAACTCACAAAAATGTCAGGGTTTATGCTAACTATTACGGTAAGGGAAATGGGGAGACGTAGCTTAGCGTAGTACGGCGACGAGGTAGGGAGGGGGAAGGGGGGGGGGATCGCTTCACTAGTTCCGGTTTACAACACTCACTGTGGTGAACCTGTGAATTCTTGTGAAGCTAGAGCTAAGCTCGTCGAACCATCGTGGTAAAACCTGTCAACTCTGGTATGCTCACGACATGGCCTCCTAGTTGGGTCAACTTCTCTATGGGAAGTAGCCGAAGTGCTTCCTATAGACACTTCTGCTACTTCCCATAGGACAAAATGTCCCCCATTCCTTTATCTTTATTGAAATCTGAGTTAAAAAATCGCTTTTCTTTCAGTTTCGGGCGCGAAACCCAACGTATTGTCAACAATACATAACTGCAGTGTAAAATCTAAACATTTCAAGGAGGGCTGTTTTGGTTGAGGAAGTTGATGATTCCTTCTTCCCACTTGGTAAATTTTAGTTGAAATATATAGGAGCCTACTAACCAGGAACAGTGGTTTTAGTTGTTGTGACCACACGAGTCATCTTCTTTGACACGACAACGGATCCATCCTCATTTGTGAATCCTTCCTCTGCAGTTTCTTTCTTCTGTGTCGTTCCTAAAAATGAGAACTGTACAATACAGAGGACGAAATACACACTGAGAGACTTGCGTTGCCATTAGACTCTAATGCAAACAAATCCACAGCGCATGTAATCAACAGAAATCTCTCAAGATTGCTAGATGAAAGTGGTTGTAGACGCTGAAACTTACCAGATTCAGGAGTTGCTTCCGGTGCACCACGTGCTGAAAATGGAAAATATAAGAAGGGATCTCCCATAAGTTTGAAATAATTCAAAAAATTTTTCAAAATTGTGACAGATGCTTGGTCTGTTTCACCCTGCTCCCGTGTTCGAGTACGAGACTAATGGGAAAGACAAGCATCTATGGAGCTATTAGAGCCACAGTGATGAATGTTAGTAGATACTAAAACCTTAGGAATAATCGATCAAACCAATCGATAGTTGAAAAGCGAACTTAGGCTGCTTAGCATCTGTTGATGAAGCTCGCGAATCTTCTCCGGCTCCAATCCAACCATTCCAGGCGTTTCAGTCTCATATACTGTCTTCGTCGTAGTTGTTTGTCTGCTTTGATTCACTCTAATCTGTACATCACGATCAGCTCCTGCAGCGGCAAGTGCTCTTGCTACTGCATCAGCCACCTGCGGATCGGCTGGCGTGACTGCTCCAGCTGCCCTCAATTCTTCTTCCAACTCTTTTAGTCGACTGACAGCAGAGCTATAACGATCCGGTGCAGCCATTTTCAGCCCACGAAGAGACAGTAGAAGATCAGAAAGTACACGTTCAGCGTCGCCGACTTCACCTTGTGTGGTTCCAGAAGGTGCAGCTTCAACAGTTACAGGAATGGCCGTTCCTTCTTCAGTTTCTTCGGCTTCCAGAAGTGGTGCTACACCGGGTACATGGAAAAAGCCGACCTGTGGAGTACCTCTGGGATCGATCTCCAACAGAGCAGCGGCTAGTGAGGCGCTGCGGTTGCGTTCAAACTGCTCACTACTAGCGATGGGCGTGCTCTCATCGTGCGGTGCCGTAGTTTCCTCTTCACCACTAGGATGGGGGACACTGTGTGAGAACACATCGTCATCCATGTGATGATGTACATCGTCGTGCTCGCCACTCCAATGCTCCGCTTCGTACTTATTCAAAGGTGATATATGATGAATTTGCTGTGAAGAAGTGCCATTTTCCGCGACAATAATTCCGGAGCAGATCGTCTCGCCATGTTCGGTGACGCCAGCAACGACTGGTTTCCAGGTGGACATACTGGAGATGTGACTCTTCGTGTTCGTGTTGTGCGCCAGCATAGAAACAGCTGACACACCCCTCTCGCTTCCCACTCAATGAGCACGCATGTTGCGGACAAAGCCAAGTTAAATGTCAACCACACAGAGAGGTTTATTAAGCAGGGGCAGCGAAACAGAACAAGCAACCATCAGCGCCTATTGCACTGCACTAACGAATAACAAAATATTGGTGCAATTAGAGACAGCAATGTTATTCCTAAGATAGTAGTAGTAAGAGTGTTAAGGACATATGGTGATGCAGTGTAATTTATAATATATTATAATATATTATATTGTTATGTATCATCAATGTGTATATGTATCAAATACAATAACGATTCCATTTTGAATCGGTCAGCGGCTACCTTGCACGACGTCCTCGTCCTCTTCGTCCTCCTCAGAAATAGGGGCGGGCGACTCTGCAAAAATCAATATCTGTAAATGGAAATGTCGCCCACCCCCAATGCAAAAATCGATACGAAATATTTCGACTATTTGATGGATGAATCCAAAGTTTTCGCGAACGTGGGCAGATATTACAACTAGTTCGATTGATTGTTGCCCCGGGCCTTTCCACATGTTGGCTTTCGTTACCTACGTCAACAAGCGGTGGTTAATTCTAGCACTGAAGTCTGGAGCCATTCAGCTACAGCTGGGACCGATATCGTGCAGGTTTTTCGCACGCTATAGGAACAGACTGGTGTTAAAGTTGTTTGTGCACTGTTATGTTCACACGAGGGGATAGGGTTAAACTATGGCCAAGTAGTTCAAAACAAGATCAGATCGTTCCTTGAAGTCAACGGAATGATTGATGGAGCTTGCACCAACAAGCAATACTACCCCGTGAGACTTTCGCGTCTGTTAAGTCACAAGCACGAATCGTTAATTATCATATTTACTACGGGGTTTCCTACACACGAGGGGCACAAGGATGACAAAGGGGTACTTCAACTTTGGGGAATGGTGAGGTGCGTGCAGGATTATATTAGAATCAATAAATAAAACATACGCGAAGTGTAATGGCTGGTGATTGTAGTCGTGGTGACTACTGTGCCATCAGGTTCCGTGTACTTCTCCGTGTCAACTTCCTGGGCCATTCCTTCCGGTAATGGCTCCTCTTGTTCTTCGTTAATATAGGCTTTGTGGCCAGCCAAACGATTCAATTCCTCCCATCTGAACAGAAACTTGTAATGCTTATCCCTTTCACGTGAAACAACGAAACCCACTTTCTATGCTCCTCTTCGTTGAGCGGAACGGTTCGGTCCACAATGTGCTCATTTACCGCTACATCGTCCTCATATGTGGTGGTAATTGTTCGTTCCTCCACCACTGGACCATCTTCGGTGTCATGCACATGACGTTCAGTCCGAACAACTGTTCGTACCTCTGAGACCGTCTCTTCCTCTGAAACATCTATCTTCGGGTGGCCAGGAATCATCAAAAGCCAATACTGCAATGTAATAAGAGGGAAAGAACGCTTACCCTCTGGAATGGTGGCTTTCGCTCTTTCTGGTTCCTCAACTATTGGCTCTACATGTGCGGCAGTCGGAAGTTTCGGAGTGTATTCATACCCAGCAGAACCGACGGAAATCGCCTAAACTCCACAATTAAACACTATGGATCGATTAAATTTATTAAAATACATCCGATAACAACGGACTATCGCTATTTCACTGGCTAGTAGCACAGGAAAGCAATATACGGCAATCATACAATTCTAACTCGCCATGTGCCCCAGGAACTGCCAAGATTTGCGCTTATGAATGCTGCTATGTTTTGAAGGCAGTGGGCACAATGGCTTGGGGCGGGCGGTTACTGCAAACGTCACTGGCGGAAAGGCTGGGTGGAATGTGGCATAACACTCTCTCGCAGCGGTTCCACCGAAGACGTTGGCAGTAACGGCGCCCCCGCCATGTACCCTCTGTCCTGAGGCAACTTGCCAAAAGAGGGCTATTGAGAAAGCAGACTTAGGACTGTCCCACTCCAACTAGAAACTTGGGATCGGGTCACGGCTACGAAACTGGAGAACGTCCGTACGTCTACAATACTATCCGGACCTGCCCGTACCCTATGCGGAAGAGTGAAACGTGCCCAGACAAGAAAGCGATCCATCAAAATCAAGAGGTTGTCCTTTCGGGTACTTATCTAACGCCACTAATATGAGCAGCTTTCGACTACCACATTACACAGAAAAAGGAACCCATACACTTTACAGCACGACCTTTATCTTCTTAGACACTGAAACAACATACTGACCTCTTTGGATGGATGCTCTATCATGGCTTCCTCGTGTTGAATTGCATGACGGCTAACAGCTGCTGGCGCTTCAAATGTCCTGCAAGAACC